ATTACTAATGGGTTTAGTTTGTGTGAGCTGTCTGCATTTGCACATAGTGCAATTAAAATACATTCTCTATTCACTTTGTATTCAGCAATATGATGGGTTGCTAACGTATGATCTGGTTTCAATCGATAGAAGAGCCCGGTTTTATCTATATTATATATTCTATCAAGGAGATAACCAGTATATTTAGATCATATTAATAGTAAAGCATTAAGAATAGTGGTATTGTCTACAAATACAGCTTTACCTTGAGGTTTTATTTGCTAAATACTATTACATTTCTTAAATTTTTGCAATCAACCGGAAGAAAATTGTAAAGTTCCTTCTGAAACCCCAACCCAGCAGCAAGCAACTTTGCTTTCTCAACCAATATAGTATCACTTAGGATTGTTTTGTACTGATAATTTAAAACAAACTCTTTTAGTACAAGCTCAACCTCCGGAACAGTGACAGATCTATAGTGTTTTGTGTTAGAGTTGGAAGCTTCAGAGTTAAGTTATTTTTCGCCAGTTTTTAAAATTCTTGAAACTGTACTTTCATCAATTCTAACACTCCACTATTCTTCTATCCAATCAACATACTTAGCTTGAGTCATTTTATTATCATGAGCATAAGTACAAAGTGTGGTTTTTTGAGTATTAGTTAATGTAATTTTTTTGGAAGACTTTTTTTTTTTTTTTTTTTTTTAGTACTTTATATGTATAATAAATTTAAAATCTCATTGAAATTATTTTAGTGTGATATTCAGTACTTTGGCATGATTTTTTAATTGATTATTGTATTGAATAATTTTTTCAAAAGTATAAAATAAAAATATAAAAGAACTCATTTTAGTGAATATAGGTTTAGATTGTAAAAATGTGAATATTTATTATAAAATATGTAATGGGAAAATAAAAAATAAAATCATAAAAAAATACAGGTTCACTCAATTAATCACTTTAAATCGATTGTCCAACTAAACTGTACTGAGGTCTTGAATAACAGATGATTTGTATGCTCAAATCATATTTGTTATAATCTTTTATAAAGTTTTTTTAAAGTTTTATAGCTCAATTAAAGTATAGCTTTTGAAATTAGTTATAAATAATTTTTGAAATACGTATAAAACTGATGAAATCTTTTTTTTTTTTTTTAAAAAAAAAAAATTATCATAGCGAGAGATTCTGGCAGAGTACTTTTACTGTATTATTAATTTTGTTGTCAGTTACATTTATAATAATAAAAGGGTTAAAGATTATTAATTTTATTCTTAATAAACTTCTAGTGCCAATGGAGACGATATTATTTTTATTAAAAAAAAAAGATCAATTGCTGTGTGATACAACTTATATAATAATTCTCTATTATAATTGGTCAGTATCACGTATATATACTTATGGAGAGTGCATGCATAGGTCTAGAACTCAGAATCTCTTGCACGTGCAGAATATGGAAAGTGTGCACTTAGTTCTAAGTTCTGATATTGGGACTAAGTCATGGTATGTATTTAGAGAGGGTGTGCACTTAGAGAGGGTGCACTTAGGGAGGTTAGACTGTATAAGGTAGTCAAAATCAAAGAATTAAAACAATTTACACTATCTATAAATATTTTTTTAAATGCCAAAAATTTTTGTTCAGACCTCCAATAATAATAAGAATCTAAATTGGTTTAATCTGATCATTATTTTTAAAAATTTTAGTAAAAGAATTTTGATTAGTAAGTATAATTAAATCAATTATATGTGTGTTAAAACTTGTATCAACATTATACTGGGAACAAACATAAATAGTCAATTAATCTTTATGAAATGTATCTTTAGAATCTGAGAGATAGATAGCAAGATATACAAATAGAATAAGTTTTTAATATATTTCTATAAAAAAATCATAGTTGACAATAGTGATAGTTTTATTAATAGTTTGTATTGTTTAAAAGATTTTGCCAATAGCAGAAATTCTGAGTAGAACTTTGACTTTGTTGTTCTGAGAAATGACAACAGAATAGTAAGAAAACATTGTAGCAAATTGTCTAACATCTTTAATTGAAGATTTATAATAGTGTTTATCAATATATTCTTTTTGATCTAGAAATTTGCAATAGCTACTAAAACTAGATAGTAGTATGCTTTAGCTATAATATTTAAGAAATTTCAAGACCAAAGGTAATTATTAAATGTAGTTCTTGAAAGATATTTATTATATTCTCTTCTAGTGCTAAACAAAGATGATTAATTGTTCTTACTTCGATAATTTTATATTATTGTTTACTATGTGTTTTTCTAAACTCAATACAGTTATGTATATGTTTATGAAGATCTGAATAATCAAAAAAAGAGGTAGTCAGCCAAGTCTATTGTATACTACAACTTTTTAGTTTTTATAAAGCTTTTTTAATTTTTTTGTATTTGATTTTGCTTGATAGGCTTATTATGTTTTAAAATACTAATTTTTTTAGTTTTTCATCAATTATTTATTTTATATCTAAAATTTGACATAGTATATCATTTTTATGTTGGTTAAGTTTTGTGAACTGATATTGATACTTGGCTTGAATTACAAAATAGTTGAAAAATATAAGATTATATAAAAATAGGTATAGCAAGGTATTTCTTAATCTCATTATCAATTTCACTTTTTGTTTTTTTAACATACTTCTACAGCTTCTGTATATATGTTTTTCTTTGAATATATTAGATTTTCTGCTTTGATTATGTAATAGTTTTCAAACACATTTGAAAATAATAATATTGTGTTTCTAGATTTTTGTTAATAGATTTTTTATTATATTTTGGTATAGCAAAATATTGTTGCATCTTGCATAAAAGTGGCTATAGCTACTAAGTGATTCAGGTAGTATTTATTTATTATTTGCATTTGCACTTGTTTATTTCAAGTACTTATGATTTTTATTCTATACTATACTTTTATTTATATACAAATATAGGAAAACAACTAACTTGACACAGATTTGTTATCTATTTTTATCATACTATTTACGAAATAAGATAAATAGTCTTTTCAATTTAGTGTTTAATAAAATTTAGACATTGTGATAAATTGAAAAATCTCATATATTCTGTTAAGATCACTATATCAGAAGATATTTTTTAATTCATTATAATACCCAACTTCATTAATCAATATTGTGATCTATTTATGCATAATGACAAATATTTGTGTAGTTAAATGATATTTATAGATAAATAGATATAGAAGTTTTAACAAAAATATGATTGTTTGTAAATATTTTTAAAAGCAAAGCTATAGGTTAGATTGCTAATTAGTTAATCATGTTTATCTAGCAATCTGATTATATTAGCTTTGTAGTATTTTATTAGTTCTATTAAGGACTAGAGAAGATGATTCATCATATGATTAAATTATACAAGCTAGCCAAAACTTTGAGAAAAAAATATATGAAGATGGGGTGAAAAAAATTGTAAATTTATTAAAGGTTTATAAGTTGTTGCTATAGTCTATATAATTTTGGAATTTATAGATGTGAATTAGACTATATAATAACAAAAGAAAATTATTAAGATATGGCCTTATATATTTAAAGATTCAAGTATCTAGAAAAAATTGTAAATATCTATAGGTGTTTATTACAAAATAGATTTGAATTAAACCCTAAATAATTATATAGTCTTTAAAAATTTTATACTTTTATTATATATTAATAATAAACTTTTAATATAGTTATTTGTATAATATTAAATATATTTTGATTGGCTAAGCTAATATATGATATTATGAAATAATCTCAGATTGGTAGAATTAGTAAAATTCTTAGGTCTGAAACTTTAAGACCTGGTCTTTGAACCTACTTTTTAAAGACCAGGTCTTGATTTTAGGATCTAAAGCTGTAGGTCCTTAAAAAGTCCTAATATAAAAAAAAATAATATATAGTATATATGTATGTATATATATGTATATATATATATTTTTTATATTGTTACAGAATTTAGGTTAATTTGTAAATTGTGAAATGAAGTAGGCTATTTAAGAATTATTATCTATTTACCAATTAAAAAAAAAAACAAAAAAATGATTTAAAAACATTAATTATAAATTTAATAAAAAACAAATAAAAATATGCTCTCTTAATATTAATTGCTAGCTAAATTCTCATATATTAAATGAAAATTAATTAAGAAATAAAAAGTGATTAAATACTCATCTAACATTAATTGCTAGTGAGATTTTCATTCATTAAACAAATTTACTCAAATATTTATATATAATTTAATTATGTAATTAAAAATTTTTGCATTTTCCGTATAGAATACATCTGTATTTTTTTAAGCATAATGAATTCTTTTTTCTGCAAAAATATGATTTTGTACCACAATTGGTTTTTTTAGCAATGACAGGTTTCTTGTCAGATGTCTTGAACCAATATTAATTATTTGTACTACTAATATTACAAAAATTATATAATTAATAATAATAATTTTATAGTTTTTTTATTACTTACTTAAGAAATGTATTTGGTAGGTACTCACTAATACTATAAGCTTGATCATCTTGAAAATTATAGGTTGAACATTTGTGATTATTAATAGTGATCTTATATTGTTGATGCTGAATATCCTTGAACATGTTGATAAACCATACTATCCATTTTCACTTATAGAAAACTTTGTTCCCAGTATTATTAACTATGTAAAATTTTGATTTTTTGCTAATTGAATTTTGTAAATTAGATATTTTAACAAATTATTGAATTAATTAGTTTTTTTGAACTAATCAATTATAATAAATAAATAAAACTATTTATTATTGTTTTTATAATGAAAAATTGTTTTTAATATAATATAATTTTCTTTTTTATTTTATTGAATAGTTATAATATCACTAATATATAGTAAATATTTATCAACAATATTATAATTATTCCTTGTTAAATATGTTATATCTTTATAAAAGCTTAGTTTTATATTAATAAGAGCTCTAGTATAGTGTATATAGTACCAGAAAATTTAGAAATACAGGAAAA